TCCCATTACTGGATGCTCTGAACAGCTCATGGGAGAGAGGGCTTTGGTACTTACCTGATACGCCCGTTCTCTGAGCTGTGAAGAGCATCCAGCCCCTCCCTTTTATTCCGTCTGGTAGGGGGTCTGTTCCGGCCAGGGTTATTACATAGGCTTAAGCACATAGGGTATCAATACCTTGGCTTCGCAAAACTGGGGATGCTAAGGAGGAGTCTCGTGGAGGAGGAGGAGTGTCCTCAAGTTTAAGCCCAGCCTTCCTAGAAGGGACTGAAGCACGTCCCATCACTGGATGCTCTTCACAGCTCACATAGAATGGGCGTATCAGGTAAGTACCAACGCCCTTTTTCTTCTCACACCTAAACTGATTGTAGACAAGACACAAGAAGCAAGGGTAATGGAAGATAAACTTGATCAGAATAAAAAAAGTCAAATCAAATAAATCAAAGCCAATTAGTAGACTCTGGAGGTCCTACCAAACATTTTTTTATTCCAGAGTTGCTAGTGTTGATGACTGAGGCTCTGTTTAAACAGTTAAAGAGATATTTCTAAGATTATTTAACAAAGAAAAAAACCCCAAGCATTAAAGTATAAATTATTGCAGGATGCTAAAGAAAAAAGAGTTTTGGATCTTCCAGATTTAACACTGTATTTTGAGATGTGTTGTTTGGTTTGGATGAAGGAAAGGAGACCTTAAAAAATAAGAGATTATTGGATTTGGAAGGTCACGAATGTTTGGACAGCCCACCTATCTATGATATGATAACTTTAAAATAAATGCAGATTTCAAGGATCATTTTATTAGGCGTGCCATTTATAGAGTTTGGAATAAATACAAAGAAAATCCTTTTTTTAAATATCTCTGGGTGTTATCCAAATATTTTTTTTAAAGAAAGGGAATGATAGTGAGTTACAATTGGTGAGTTATAATTTATACTGAATAATATCCTTTGTTCAAAGTTAATCACTTCTCAAATCAAAAGAAGACTTGGAACACGAGGGTTGTACCTATCATTGGTTTACCTATCTATGGCTAAAATAAAGGTTTACCCTGGATAAAAAAAATTGTGGTTTTGAAGCTGCTAAAATGAATTTGAAATGATACACTATTAATGATGAACACCTTATAGCTAGGCTTTATAAAATGCTGTTACAGTTAAACCTAGATAAAGAATATGTTAAACATTGCATGATTCAATGGACAATAAATTTTGGTTATAATATGATATTAAGGCTGTGCGAAAATATGTAAGCTAAAGGACTAATAGTAATAGCATTTGGACTTAGATACTGCTTCATAAGTGGTTCACAGCACTAAGTGGTTTATAGATTCAGCATATTGCCCCCAATAATCTGGGTCCATTTTACCAACATCAAAAAGATAGAAGCTGAGTCAATCTTGAGCCAATCAGGATCGAACTCTTGGCAGTGGGCAGAGTCAGCCAGCAGTACTGCATTGTAACCGCTTTACCACCTTTACATTGAATTATAACCTTAAAGATAATTTATTTAAAATGTACCAGTGGTATGTAGCACCAGATAAATTATCAAAGATGTAAAAAGATGTTTGAATGTTTATTGGAAATGTAAGTGAAAATAGGTACTTTTTATCACATATGGACATTTGACAAGGCAAAAAAATATTGGAAATAGATTCATGTTTTAATTCAGAAGATTTTAAAAATGGAGTTAGAGTGGAAACCAGAAACTGTTCTTCTATGATTATTAGATAAAGAAATGGAAAATAATTTGGGGTTTTGTTGTTATATATGTTGATGGCTGCAAGAATTCTATATGCTCAGAAATGGAAAAAAGCACTAGCTCCCACAATGGAGGAATTGATTGAAAAGATGATGGAATTTGCAGAGATGGTGAAGTTGACTGCACTAATTACGAAAAAGAATGTTTTGTGGTTACTTGGAAATTGCTTCTGGACTGTGTATGTGGAAGAAACGAAATTTAACTTTGGATTTTTATGATAAAGTAGCTTACTGCTGCTATATGGCTAGTACTATTTAGTATATGTAAAAAGTTGATACAATAACTTTTATTAGTTACGTTACTGCGCTAAAAAATCATAAGCTACTGCTTTTTGTTTTACTTTTTCCCTTTTTCCTCACATAATCCCCTCTATCTCCTTTCTCTCTCTTTTTTCCATTGTATTTATTTTTATTTGTATTTTATATTAAGAAAAAAAACTTTTAATAAATGTATATATATATATTTTAAAAAACACTACCAATTCATCAAAAAATGCAGAGACCAAGGTTTGTAGAATTGTTTGCGTTCATTCTGTCCTCAAGAGAATACACAGAGTACATACATAGCAAAATTTCAACACATCAACCAAACAGAAGTTGTTTGCTGAAAGATCCATGTCAACTGCCATAAAAATTAGATTCAAATTGCCAATCGGTATAAAAATGAGTTATTTTTGAAAATAAGTTGAGGTTAACTATATGTGTATATTCTGCATTCTCCTATATCCTGTTGAAATGGACAAATAACAATATTAAATTTGACACAAGCTAAATAAAGAAAAAAGTGAAAGAAAATTTAAAAAATGAAAAGAAATGAAAAAGATACAAAGGAGTAATTTCTAATATTTTTCATAGTAATTATGTTGTAAGTACAAATATATTTTAGCTCTCTCTCTCAAGTTAACACCAAACACAGTAGTACATACATCACATACTCAAACATAGACATACATACTTTTACATTTACCTTGCAAATACATCTATATACAGTCCAAGTTCAAAAAGCAAATATCAAAAAATACACTGGCATGTAACAGTGAGCAATTTTCTTCTATGTCTAGTTGTCATCTGTTGACCACAGCATCACTTCCATCTATGCTATGAGTTTTCTCTGTTGGCATGCCACTCCGGATGATGCAGGGATTAGTGGGAAAACATATTAAATCAGCCATGGGGGACTTAATCCAGTGTGGAGAACTGTTAAGGGATTCTAAAAACCTGGCATTTGCATAAGTGGGTCACTGACTTGCCTGAGATGCAGGTTCTTATCTGTTCCCCAGATCATTGTTAGAGATCATTTAAAAGCTCAGGAATAACACCGACAACAAAATTCTGAAGAATCTCAGTCCCTCACCTTTTTTTCCCTCTAGTCTCTTGGATTAATTTGTATTATGCACTAGAAGCAGAGTTTGAATCCAAATTTGTTTATTTTAGAGAAGTATTACAAATAATGATCATAATCTTTGGTGATTATTTTTATTTTAAGGTTAATGAACCAGATGCCTCATTGTCTTAGAAATGTTAATGTCTGTCAGGATTTCTGCATATACATCTTTCCTAGTGAGTGTTTTAAACGATTTCTTGAGAAACTATATTTTTCATTACATAGAATACGGGGGAAATCATTTCTATTCAATGTTATGTACAATACATTTTTATTTTTAATTTCACTGTGCTTAAAACAATAGGACATTGAATTCCTATGTTTTAAGGGTTAAAGTGATCTGAAATGTTGCCTTCCAGTACATGTGCAAGGGCAAAGCACAGTTACCATGGAGACTGCTAGAATAATGTTTCCTGTCTTTCTCTTGCATTCTGATAGTAACATACTCCTGCATACAAAATGCTTAGAGCAGTATACCATTGGATGATTATATGAAGGAAACACTTTTGATATTTTTGGATACACATTACAATTAATATCAAGTTCCATAACAATATAAATGTGGTCAAGAGGTACAGAATTAATACTGATACAAGTCAATAGTTTTCAGCACATTTTTAAACATTCCTTTCTAAAGTCACATTTTGTAGAACATAATAGGAATGTATAGTTTTATTCTAGAACGACACAAAAATTTTCTAGTGTGAAGCATATAGGAATTACAGGAGTTCCATTGACAGGATGAAAACCATAACTGATAAAGATTTCAGAGAAAGAATGTCTGTGTCTGTGTCTGCACACCGCTCTAAGCTTTATACAGTTCCGTAGCAGCCTCGCCCATCTTGTCTATAATGAGAAACTACAGATTGCTTTTTTCATTTCATTTATCCTGCCAAACATATTTTTCTATAATTGAGTAGTGAAATGTTCACATGCTATTTAGAATATTAAGTTTTTAGAGTGTGGGTGTAATTTGAAGTAAAAAAACCTAAAGCATCAAGGAACAAGTTGAAAAGAAAAGTTATAAGCCAGATAACTTTCCATTTTTAAAAACAAAGCCCTTTTAAGAAAAGTAAACCCTATCAGAAAATTACAAAATAGAGTATGTTTGGGCATGGGAATGAATTTTTTGTGTGAAGAATTTTTCACCTTTTCATCTAGCAGTGGCTACCAGCAGATGATGTCACCTTGCAGCTGATTGGTTGTTTCAGTACCTAGTGCAGGCAAGAGACAGAAGGATGCCGGCACAAATCTCTGTGTTGAATCTGTGGTGTTTTTTCTCAGTTTTATGTGGAATATTTTGATAAATATTTAGATTATTCAACTATACGGCCATGTGAGCAAGTGGGAATATCTTAGTGCAAGGGCTGTTGAAGAGCTGTTAGAGGAATGAGGCGGCTGATCTGTAAACGGATCTGTGATTGTAAGTGTTAAAATCAGGGTGGAGGGAATGAGCAGGGAGTGTTCGTATGCACGTTGTAGGAGGATGTGTAGCAGAAATGGCAAGTAAGAATAGTAGAAAATCAGTGTTTTTCTTACAGAAATGCTGAATTAAACTGAAAATGTAAATGTTTAGTTGGAATTACAAATTGTAAGTGAACAGGAAATATATATCTAATGGATTTTTCCTTAGCTGTCAAAGATTAACCTTAAAAATGATGGATTCTATCATTCGCAAGCCTATTATATGAAATGAAATTACATTATTTCTTTTCTTTTGTTGCTGTTGTTTGTAGCCTTAAAGAAAAATGACATTCCATTTGGTTGGATTTTTGCTATAGTACAGCTGGAAATATTTATTTTAAAAACAAAATAACATGGAGTTATAATGTATGTTTTTCTTTTTAAAAACACCTTTCTAGATAAAAGCTTTGATGATGAAGAATCAGTGGATGGAAATAGGCCATCTGCAACTGCTTCAGGTTTCAAGGTCCCTGCACCTAAAAAACCTGGAAATCCTTCAAATACTACAAGAAAGCCAGGATCTGCTGGTGGGCCCAAAGTTGTAGGTAAGGATAAACAATTTCGATGTCAGGATATTTTATTTTAATTTAATGAGAATGATAATAAAGATCTTTAAATCATAATGTATCATTCACAATTGTAGTATTTTTTCAAGTCCAAAAAGTGTAAAATATCTTCAAAAGCTTAGGTCTTAGATGAAATGTAATAATAATTCTATAATATAAATGACAAATTTAACATTTTGAATGGATGCACTAGCTTTCTAACTTTTTGTAACTAGTAAGAAAAACACAGTTAATTGCTATCATGTTAGAAATCATATCTTATGCAATTAATAAACACTGACACATTCCCATGTACAGAAAAATTTCAAAATAAATAAAACAATCAATCCTAATAATATACCAGGGAAAGAAAGAGAACTATGGAACAGACTATATGAAATTTGTCATAGAGATAGATACATTGATCATAAACAAGTTTTTAAAAAAATACTTTCATATTTCAGTAAATTATGAGTTGCAGGTGTTTATTTTTGTTCTTTTGAAATAGTTGAAAATGGAAGTATTTGACAAAAATAAATATTTCCATTTCCAGATTATTTATTTGACCCACAATTAATACTTGAATTAAAAAATGCATCTCAGATGTAAAACTCATAGGTGATACTGAATGTATGTTTAGCCTACATTAATCTGTCAGATAAAAATATTTATTGTCTCATCCAATTTGCTTTTTCAATGTAGTTTTTAATAGTTAATGAAGGTGCGTCATTATTTGAGTGGAGTATTGCTTAAAATGTTTTCAGGGTAAATCAAGAAGCATTTTAAAATAGGTAAAAATGAATTTCTGCTGTTTGTGTTCATATAAATATATATTTTTCTGTCTTGCCTTTTATTCATCTACCTACTAAACATCAAATATTCTTTGTATAAGTCTGCAACAGCTATGTTTTTAACCAACATTAGGAAATGTCCTCAAATTTAGCTACATGTTAGGTAAGGCAATATAAGTGGCTTGGCATATTATTTATATTGTACATATATTTTGTTATTCTATTTCGGTTTTTATAATTTTGAAATAAACTGCTATTGTGACAAAATCAAATTCTTTATAGTTTCTTAGTACAGTTTAAACTACTGGGAAAAAATTGTCTTCATTATCTATGCCCGTGATGGCAAACCTCTGGCACACGTGCCAGAAGTGGCACGCAGAGCAATTTCTGTCGGCACACGATCCACTGCGTATGCAGGCACACCTCCCGCCAGCCAGCTAATTGTCGTGAGTCTGCCGCGTATGCGCAGGAGGAGACATGCGTGCAAGAAATGTGTGCGCATGCACAGGGGGTGGGACCCATGGGGATTGCACATGGATGCACAGAGGCGCATGGCGCGGGGGTCCATGCGTGCATGCATAGGGGGTGTGCACGCATGCCTACACCCATAATGCAATGTGCGTGCACTTTCAGCACGCAATGAAGAAAAGGTTAGCCATCACTATGCACATACATTTTCTCTGCAGGAAAAATAAATTTCTTTTTTTCCTTTAAAAATTACTGATGAAAAATAGTAGTCTAGAGAACAAGAAGTTATAAGATTAGAAAAGTTTTAAAACTGTTTGCCCATGTCTTTGTGGGTTCAGTCTCTAAATAAACAAAATGTATGCTTAAAAGTACATGTATGAAAACCGATTATTTTGCTGAGCTTATTTTCATTATTAAGCTATATGCTATTTATGTATATGGAATGAAATTGCCATCTGTAAATATAGAGAAATCTCATGATTGTTTACAATTTTAGGAAAAAATGAACAACTGAGTCAATTCATTGGGAGTTAAATATTGGAACTGAATAATGTTTGTGCAAGGAAGATTATAATAACTAGATTAAATTGCCACATTTGTATTTTTGAGGCAATATCAGGAAATTGTTTTTTCTAAACAATCAGTATAGCATTTTTCTAAAGATTGTCAGACAACAACAACAACAACAACAACAACAATAATAATATTCTAACAGTGAAGTGACTGAGTAGGTTGAATTTACATTGTCTTCATGGATCTTAAATGTACTTTTAGCTAGATCAGGGATGTCAAACTCAAGGCCCATGGGCCGAATCCAGCCCACGGGATGCTTAGATCTGGCTTACAGGGTCACCCTGGAAACAGTGAAGGACCAGCCTGCGCTGGCAGAGGGTTGCAGGAGGCTGTTGTAGCCGAAAACAGAGCTCGGGAGCCGGTTTTCACTGGCAAGCTCTCAGGCCGCCACAGGCAACCCTGACATGAGTGACATTGACTTAGCCACACCCACCCTGGCTCTCCAAGGTCAAACACAACCCTGATGCAGCCCTCAATGAAATCGAGTTTGACACCCTTGTACTAGATTGTTAATGTTTTGATCATGAGGATTTCTTTCTTTTTTCCCCCCATCAAGTTTTTTATTTTATATTACTTATACATATCAGCATGTGAATGGTGTGATACCTGGGCATCATACATTTTGATACAAATAGATGTAATACTATTACTTCTAATTATTACATTTCATTTTCATTATTTCATATTGTTTACATATACCTTATACTTCAGTTTCTAAACCTCTCTTGTTCTTTCATATATCTTTATATCTATATCTATACACACACAATAATTATCTATCCCTCTTATATCTTTTTTAATGTTTTTCCCCCATATCACTATAATATTCAAAGACATTTCTTTGCTATTTCCCATCTTTCACCAGTTTTATTATTCATATTTCCCTTATTTTACTTTTCGCCTCTATTTATGTTAAAATTTCAGCCTTCATTCTTTCATTATCCAATGTCTCAATTTACACTTCTAATACCAAACACAATCATTTAAACGTTTAAAGAACATCTATTCATGTTCTTACCAATCATCCAAACCATACGTTTCTACTGTTAATACGCATGTTTACATTAAAATATATTCTTTAATTATCTAATCACCCATTGTTTAATTGTATCGTTTTATTTCTAATCATATTTTATGCATATTTAATAATAGCAATAGCACTTAGATTTATATACCGCTTTATAGTGCTTTACAGCTCTCTCAAAATGGTTTACAGAGTCAGCATGTTGCCCGCAACAATTTGGGTCCTCATTTTACCCACCTCGGAAGGATGGAAGGCTGAGTCAACCTTGAGCCTGGTGGGATTCAATCTGCCAAATTGCAGTAGGAGTAGCTTGCAGTACTGCACTCTTGACCACTGCACCACCGAGGCTCCTTATGTTTATAATATAATTTATACTAATGTCATCATTCAATCTCTAATTTTCCAATTAATACTTAATTCTTATTCATAATTCCCATATTTCACTCTTCATATCTATTCATCCTAAAATAATATCCTAATGTCTATTACACTACATACAGAATAATTATTCAGCCTATATAATTCTAATATTAATACATATGCTTTTATTGAAATGTATTCATGGAAGATCTTTTACCTCTCCTTTTTTTTAATCCATCATCTCTTGTTCGCATCAGAACTTTTAGTTGGTTTTTTTTTTCACTTGCCTTCCATATTTTTCTCTTTAAGTCTTTTACTCCATCTATTTCTAGATCTATATTCTGACTATGTAGTCTAACTTTTTCTCTTCTCTCTACCCTTCCCCACTGTCTAGCTTAAAGCTATTAGTTCTAGCCCCTATCTCTTTTCCCCAGATATCTTCTTGTTTCTCCCATTTCCTTTTTAAATACTTTAAAACATTTCTCTCCTGTTTTAATTCCTTACTCATTATTAATTTTGGTAATATCTCTTTCTTGTCTTCTTTTTGCTGGTTTCTCAATTCTGCTTTCCCCTCCATTCCTTCTGATGGCTCCTTTCTTTCCTCATTGTCCTGGTCTTTGTTCATTGCCCCTTGTATAGTATTTTCCAGTTTTTGGCCTATACCAGTGATGGCTAATCTTTTTGTGTCACGTGCCAAAAGCCACCCATAATGCAGTGAATGCGCGACCCCCTCCTGCTCCCCCTGCCCTTTGGACATGCAACCCCCCGTTCCCCATTTTGGGCCTAGTAGGCCTCCCTGCAGCCTCCTAGGAACAACAACGGGCATTGGGGGGGCGTGCCACACCCCCCCCCGCATCTCAATTTTGGCCCTAGTAGGCCTCCATGCAGCCTCCCGGGAGCAAAAATGGGAGCGTGGGAGGCATCCTGCTCCCAATGCGCTCACCCCCACACCCACGCTTCCCCTGCCCCCCGGGTATGCGCACACATCTCCCACATATGCCCCGCCCCCTGGGCATGCATAGCAGAGACCCAAAAATCAGTTGGTTGGCAGAAGGCACATGCATGGTGGAGCTGAGCTCGGCTAACGGCTCGTGTGCCTGCAGAGAGGGCTCTGTGTGCTACCTGTGGCAGGCGTGCCATAGGTTCGCCATCACAGGTCTATGCAATCAAATATTTTCACCATCACCTTATGTTGTTCCTGTATAAGGTCCTTAATCCTTTGAAGCATCAACTCCATTCCATTTAAAACTCTACTCATTTCCGCCTTGCGTTGCATTTCATTTGGTTTAATAGGTCTCATTTTTAGTCAATTGTCCAGGATTCATTAATTCCAAACAGAGCTTGCCAAGTCACAATTTTTAATATCTCATCAATGGTTAGTCAAATCAATTTTAAATACCCCCATGGTTTTCCAAGGCCTCTTCAAGTTACTTTTATACATTCAATAACATTTAGGGGTCTTTTAACTAAAGTTCTTATTTAATATTCCAATCTCCAGTGGTCTTAGAGTAGATACATGTAATCTAGAAAGTATTTTCAGTCCTTCAGGTGGTTATTCCCAGAATTGCATAGTTGCCCTCTCATCAGCAGATTGGTGCTCTCTGCATCAGCCTGTTTCAACCTCTCTTCAATATTGCTGGCAAGTCCGATTTTAATGATTTTGAATTATAGTTCCAGTAAGTAAGCAGTATTAATAGAAAAGATTTTAGGTCCATAAATTCAGCATTTTAAAAATGCCTTCTCAATATCATGTCTTTTTACTTTGAGAGTTCAATTTTCTATAG